AAGATGTCTCATTTTGATATTGATGCTTTCTTTCAGGTTTACCTGAGCTGTACTACTGGAACTCTAAGTATAAATTATATCATTTCCCTCAATCCATTGAGCATGGCAACAGCTGTCATAGTGAAAAACAATGGCAGGAAAGATATGACAATAACTAGTGCACTATTTAGCAATGTGAAGTTCAAGAAAAGGGGAGGGACAGCAGTCCTAGGACTTAGAGGCTGCCCGTATTGCACACACCCTCCTCTATCTTCTTTTGAGCTCTTAACTCCATATGAAGCAATGTAATCTCAACCTGGAGGATGGTTTGGTTTCGACAGCGAAGAGAAACATGGTGTTATCTGGAAACAGAAAGATGTTCCTCTCAACATCTTGAAGCAAAAGCTCAGTCCAGCTTATGCTGCTTCACCAGAACAGAGACTAAACACAAGTCGTTTTGTAACACCCCATCCTCAAAATATGAAACTCTTGTCAGGTAAATGAACATTATTCAAGTCCATTTCAACCTAAAAGCTTGTATATTGAGCTGTCAAGGGAGGACGTGGTTTTTGAATGTTATTTCTTCAAGGTTGAAAAACCGTCTTCAGGGTAATAAGAATTGGTTTCGAGGACATACATACTTATTCAGTCCTGGCTCCATGTCTGAAAAGTATGGAGAGGACTATTTCATTTGCACTGACCCTGCTTCAATGCTGGTGCCTTGCCCGTGGTGGGTGAGAGTTGGAGAGGTGTACAAGTGATTCAGCATGATAACTTGTGATTATGTAATACAACAACATAGATAATCCTTTTGTTTTTCCATCCTTTCAATTTCTCTAGGGAAGAAGTTGGAAAATTAATATTTTGTAATATATCATTAGTGGAAAACATTTTTCTATAACTTCTATTAGCCTTTCTTAGAAGATATTCTAATAACTAAGAGTTTATATTTTCATATTAGAGATATCAAGTTTGAATCCTGAAACGGATAAAAAGGGATTTGGGAAGGGAAGAGCTATCCCTATTGTATATACCATCATTCAATGTACAAACAGGGGAAAACTTATATATTAATTCCATAAACAAACTAAAAAAATTAGTTTCATGTTAGAACAAGATGATCTTCTTCATCCCAACCATCACTACATATCAGTGCTACGAGAAACTACAAGTAGAATGGAAAAGAGCATCAAAAGCATTTTAGAACCTTTATTCCAATGGCTGATCTCGTTGCTAGACTTCAGAATTTCAGTTTTAATAACGGGAACTTCCTCATGAGACTCTCGCAGATCACCATCAGCAGTACCAACATCTGTTGATGATACAGATTCAGAGACACCATCATATTGCTCACCATCATTACATAAACTTTCCTTCCCATTAACCTCATGCATCAAATCATGTTGAAAACCATTTTGCCTTGGGAATGGGCGGGATCGGAATCTTCCAGAGGATGGACTTCTGAACCTCCTTGTTTTTTTTTTCAGAGAAGTTTGAGTTAACAATATTAGGGTCCTGAAGTGTGTGAATTAACTTCCTTGGAGTGGGGAAGATGTTAATGTCATCGATGTTAATGTGACATTGTGACCTCTCAAATATATGATGAGCAACCAAATCAATACCGGAAAAAGGAAATGGTGTTGCAGGACAATTTTGAAGCACTAGTTGGCACAAAATATAATGAAATAAATTTGATTAGCAATTCGGAGGGACAAATTTATCTGATTTTTTAATCTCTGAAGTTCGAAATTCTATGGACCGAAATGTAAATCTTACATAACTTTTGACTTTCTTATTCATTCTGGACAAAGGTTCTAGGGCATTACGTAACTTACACACTTCACTTCAGAGTTGCTCTATTTTCCTGCATTTCTCGATTAGGGTTAGGTTCTGCGAGGAAGAAGAAGACGAAGGAGAAGAAAAATTAAGAAGGGAATAGGAGAAATGGGGTTCTCAATGCAGCCATACGGGATTCAGGCTATGCTGAAAGAAGGGCATAAGCATCTGTCTGGTCTTGAGGAGGCAGTTCTGAAGAACATCGATGCTTGCAAGGAGCTCTCTGCTATCACACGCACTTCTCTAGGCCCTAACGGTACTTCTTTCTCTGAGATAATCCATTTTCTGGATCTATAACTGCCTTTTCGATTCATTTGATCTCTCTGAGTTTAGTTTTTCTAGTTCTTGTTTGTTAAGGGTTTAGCGTAATATAGCTGATCTACTGCAATTGAGGGTTTTGTTTCATTTTTCGTGTCTAGGTTGTATGATGTATCAGAAGGAGCAGTTCCTAATTTCTAATTTTTTTTTTTTTGATAGGACTAATTTCTAATTTTAAGCTATACTCTAATCGGATTTTTTTTTTTTACTTGAATGGTGCTTAGTTATAACCATTCTATTAAGCAATATTCGCTATATATATATTTTTGAGAATTTAATGGCTTAAAACGGCTCTGGATGATA